CCCCAAAACCCCAAAACCCCAAAACCCCAAAACCCCGCATAAATGTGAAAGCTTTGAAAATAAAATAAATTAATAATAATAAAATGGAAAGTGAAGACCAAATTGTTCAGGAAAAGCTTATCCAGAAGATCAGGTAAATTTAATAAGTTTTTGAGTTTCTTCTAAAATTTAAATCGGAAATTTTATAACTTGATGTATTTGGGTAAAGTTAGAGCGTAATTCTATTTTTGATACCATCAAATTTCTTTTTATTTTAAATATTAGATTTCAAAAATGGCAAGGGTAACTCTTTGGTTTCCATTTGATCTCAGTATCACTAAGCAATACTCTCATTTTCTTAATTCCATCATATTTTCTATATTAAAATTCAAATTTTACACTCTGTAATTAAAGCTCATTACAATATCCTGACGTTAAAGTAATTCTTCAAGTCCAAAAGAAATTGGCACTCTTACTTTACTGAGGGACTTCTTGTTTGTCACTTTATTTTGTTTTTACAACTCACAAACTCGGAGTTTTATTCCATTTTGGATCCAGACTCATCTAAAACTTTGTCTCAAAGTATTTTCAAATTCTGATATGAATCTGACTTCTTAGTTCATCTTTAATTGTGTAGTCTAGAGAAGTCACTCCTGATAGAAAGCATCCAGCAAGAATTTCAGAGATGTTGCTGTATCTACTACAATATATTTTCAGAGGAAATTAAAGCTAGACTGCCTGATGCAGAATCTGATGGACATTCAGTAAACTATTGGTTTCAATTATTTTTCAAAAGACTTAAATATATGAGCCTTGTGAAAAAATTAAAATTTCTAAAGTTCTTCAATGTAAATAAGGTCGAATTGAAGATTGGCAAGGAGAGAAATTAAGAATATTCTAAATTTCATAGACTTCTCATTGCCCAATAAAATGAAAGATTTAAATACTTATCTCACTTTTGAAATGAAACCGAAAAGAGCTACTTACTTTAACTCATTGGTCAGGATCAGCTCTAAAGTAACCCGAAGAGTGGGATTCCTATTTTTCAGATTTAGTCTCCCTCAACTGAAGAGGTTGGTAGCAGCTTACAGACATGTGGCAATATTGGAAATTTGGAAATGAGAGTTGTCCATTCCAACAGTTCCTGATTTCTCAAAGGCACTCCAAAATTGCCAAATTAAGAAAATAAGTTTATGGAGAATAGGAACCGATTCTTACAGAAATTGGGAAGACCATCCTGATGAGTTCAAGAACTTGATACAAGGCTTCGCAACATCTTCGGATTTAAGGTTAAGTCTCAAGAAAGTATACATTCCTTATTGTAGAATTAAAAAAAGTGAAGCTCAGAAAATCTTTGCAGACAATCAGCTCGAAGGAGTAGAAATAATTGGTGGATCTTAAATTCCTGGAAAATTGTTGTTTTATTGGGTTAAATAAGGCAAAGTCTGCAAATACTAGGATTATGTAGCTTGTAACTTATTGTGAGGGTCTATTAATCTGACTTTTAAGGATTTAAAATTACATATTTTGTAACTACAATACATTTTGAAGTAAATTTTCAGAGCGATTAAGTGTTAGTTGCTGATAGACAAAGAATATCACTGTTTTAGAAAATGCCAATGCCCAGTATTTCATATTTAGTGTGTTTTATATATTATTCAAAGCTTTTAACCCATTTGGGGTTTTGGGGTTTTGGGGTTTTGGGG